CTACGAACTTCACAGTCCCCGCTCTTACTTCCCCAAAAGCTTCTCCTAGTGCGGGGCGGCTTGGCCAGTCTGATGCCGACGGACCCTTTGTCTTCCACCACCGACTTCTGACCCGAAACCATACCTACCAGTCATGATATCCTGAGCCTCAGACCAGCTTGTCTCGGCGAGGAAGACATCTTGTCCCAACACCACCAAGCCCCCGTGGGCGCGCAGTGGCCAGGATCGGGCCTTCAATTTGTCTCCCCGTGTTCTGCTCCTGACTTCTGTTACACACTTCGGTTCTTTGCCGGAACAAAAACCATCACCGGGCACACTTGCTGTTCATCTGGATCGTGTACCACCCCCCTCCAAGACAGGCGACCCTGATTTGTTCTTGTTCGTGGGCCAGGCAGTTCGACCGCCGTTGCGCCAGCCCTCCATCCTCTAGCCCCTCCTATCCCGGCGCGTGTCACCTTGACCGACACCAAGTGCGACGTGACCCTACCGAGGCCGGAGTCCCCATTCACAAACCAGGCCATCATGACTTCGGTGCTCCCATCACAGTCTTCCGATATCAAACCTCCTCATTCAGACTGTCTCCCAGACGGAGCCATGCCTCAGTATCAGGAGCCCACGCCTCCTCATAATATCAAGCAGGAAGATGAACAAGAGCGGGGCCGTCGTCGTAGTCGATCTGATGACAAAGATGTCGAAGGGCTCGACCTAGAGGATATGGAAGACGGTGATGGAAATGGGAATGATGCCCACTCGTCCAATGAGGAAGGGCCCGCAAGGAAACGACGCAGAAGCCGCAAGGGTCTGGACAAGAAGTTTGAGTGCCCCGAGCAGGGTTGCGGGAAGAGCTACTCCAGGGCAGAGCATCTGTATGTGAAGCCTTGTTTATACGCACATTCTTCATGCTAATCTTCTCTTTGATAGTTACCGGCATCAGTTGAACCACAATCCCAAACAGGTATACAAGTGCGGAATTGGTGATTGTCAACGGACATTCGTGAGGCTGGACCTTTGCAACCGTCATAAGGAACGCCACACAGCCAAAGGATCAGCACTGAGCAGAAAAGACTCCTTGATGTCCCTGGCCTCCCCGACAACAGATGGCCGCCCCCCTTTTATGGCCCAGGGCTCTGCATCTCCAGAAACGAACCGTCTGGGTAATGGTAAAGGCAGGACCCTTTCCATGCAGTTCAACTCACCCAAGGATGCCATGGGAAGCCCATATACGCCCATGACTGCCAGCGCACCCACAAACGGCTACTCCAATGGCATCGACTACATGCAGCATGATGCTCACTATCAGCACATAACAGGACAAAGATCCCTTCAACATTCGCCAACTGGACCTCAACGGCCGTCAGTGCAGACAAATGTTGGCCCTTATGGGGTGCTGTCTCCTGTTTCAACGCAGCCGGGGTACCATGGTCATTCTGTGAACACATCGCAGTCTGCGGTCCCATATGTGACACCGCAGAATTTTCCTCCTTTTAGTTTACCTCCATCAGATTTCGCTACGACGTCTCCCGCAGCCGTTGTAAGTAGGGAAGCCCAACAGCAAGCCTATGTGCCCTTGACGACTGCAGAGTCTTTTGATCACCACCCGCAAGATACTGGGGAGATTGTGCGGCTGGATCAGATGAGTATGCAGCAGACAATGCCAGTCTTTGGCACTGACAGCATCCTCAACAAGTCACCATATGTTGGAATGCCTGAAGATTTTATGGCCTACCTGTTCAACACCCATGGTGAAGGATCACCCACCGTAGTTCCTGTTCAGGGGCTAAAGTAAGTATCACCGAAAACCATTCCCCGTTCGCCCTGCTAACTTGAAGTCAGTTATGGGGAGTTCTCTACCAACCAGTATCCGTTCTACAATGATCCTAGTCAGATGGGCTACTTCCCACAAATGGCGCCTCAACAGATCATGTCCGTTGAGAACCTTCTGGACCAAAACCTCCCCGAATCAGTAATTTCCGATCCGAAGAGCGCCGAGATTTTCGAACTTATCAAGGAACGGTTCCACGAAAACGGCCATACGCCGATTGAGAGGCAGCGCGACAACATTCTCGAGGGCGACCGCAACAACGAAAACCACATGTTGAGCCGGAAGATGATGCAAGCCTACATTGTGTCTTACTGGCTCCATTTCAGCGATCAGATTCCCATCCTTCATAAGCCTACCTTTTCTCCCGACAAAACCCCAAACTTGCTCCTGATCGCTATGATGACCATTGGCGCCGCATGCCTGGACAAGGCGTACGGTCAGAAAGTCACCAAGGCGGGTGCCGAGCTGTCCAACTTCTTAGCCTGGCATCTTCGATGGGAGATGTTTCAGGACCCCAACTGCCGGCCACCAGCCAAGCTTTGGGTGTTCCAGACGCTCCTGCTTCTCGAGCTGTATGAGAAGATGTACTCGACAAGAGAATTGCACGAAAGAGCCCATATTCACCACGCAACGACTATCACGTTGATGCGTCGTGGCAGGGCCTTGATCGGCAAGTCGGCTTTGGATTCTCCCCCGAACCCGAGGGATGATAAAACCAATGGTTCGAGACATTCGTCAACGTCGGGCATGGCTCACACGCCAGACGAGTGGTGGAATCATTGGATTACCAATGAAGCGACTCGTCGTGCAGCATTTGCAGCCTTTGTAATTGACTCGATTCACGCCACCATGTTTGGCCATTCGACCGTCATGGTGGCCCATGAGATGCGCCTACCACTACCGTGTGACGACAAGCTTTGGAAGGCAAAGAGTAGCGCAGAGGTGGGAAAGATTGAGGCGGAGCTCATGTCACAGGGCAAGCCGATTGGGTTTCTTGATGGGCTCAAGCGGACGTTGAACGGCCAGACGGTGCAAACCAACTCATTCGGTCGCACCATTCTGATGGCGGGTCTGCTGAGCGTCAGCTGGCACATGAACCAGAGAGACCTCCAAGTTAATTCCCTTGGGGCTACCACGGCTCTTGGAGGTCGCGACAAGTGGCGGACCACGCTTACCCGCGCGTTCGATTCCTGGAAGAAGGAATTCGACCGGGCTTTGGAGGAAAAGCGAGGCGACATGGCTGACCCTTATTTCTTTGGAGTCAGGGGCAACGAGACCGACGTGGTATTTGAGAGTCGTGTTGTCTTGCACCACTTGGCGCACATGGCCATGCACATCGACATTGTAGACTGCCAGATCTTTGCCCGAGCCAAGCGCCTGTTGGGCCGAGCAATTGGCGCGCAAGATCTCAGCAGCGCTACACGTCGCATGAAAGACCAGTGGGCTCCCTCGGCCAAAGCCCGCGACGCAACGTTCTACGCCCTGCAATTCTTGCAATCCGTTTTGCTCCCAACCGGCTCCGGCTCTCCCCAATCCAACGGCTACAGCAGCCATATGGACGAAGAATACTCGGCCCGCGACGACGTCCTCCTCAACCGACCCTGGGTCTTGTACTTTGCCGCTCTCGTGGTGTGGTGCTACGGCTATGCTCTGGAGGGTGCCTGTCCCGGGCTTCCCATGCCGGCTAGCCACCAGGATGCCGTCCGGCAGATGCGCGAGTACCTGATCAAATATGGCAGCATTCAGTCGCCGGAGGATCTCAAATCGATGAGGGGCATCAACCAGAATACGGCGCTGTTGGTGGTGTTGAAGGACACATTCCGAGTGACGAGGTGGGAGTTGCTTCATGAGGGTGCAACGCTGTTAAATAACTGCATTCTCTTGAATGCTGGGGCGACTGTACCTTGATTGTAGGTAGTTCTTGCGGCTCTCATGGCTTGGGTTATACGGTCCGCATCTAATAGTGTTGGCGAAGGGCGTAGTTTCGGCGGTGGAAGGCGATTATGATGTATAAGGGGAAACAATGTCGATGTTGAAGGTATGACGAGCGGAGATGATGGCATGGCGGTACATGAAGGGGACTGAGCTGTATACCTACGAGAGGACAGTTGTTGCGTTTGTGGTGGTTCCGAGTTGTGATTCTTTCACCACACATACTTCATTTCATGTATACCCCCAGTTGTATGTTTTGTGGTTTTCGTTTTCTCGATGTTATTTTCTCCTTCTCGCAAATGGGTGGCTAGCGCTGCGTTTCTGGCCTGATTATATAACAAAGCACCTCCTCACTTGCCCTTGTCCCTCGGCTTTACAAGCATTATCTCCGGTTTGCGGCACTGTAAAGCGTTTGCGTGGTACAATGAGTGATTCGATCATTCCATCCCCTCTGATTCGATTCCCGAGGGGTAACATTGATAACCCATCCGGAAAGTCTGTTGGGGAAACCCCTCCTCAGTCTATCTTTTGGACTTTTGACCTGATGCGTTTTCTGTAAAGCTGCTTCATTCTACCGTCTGTTGCCTGTCACCTTCGGTCATTACAACACCCGACATGAACACAGCTCGGACCGTCTTTGCATTGCGGTCTGCAGAACGCACCTACATGCATGCCTCACGTGCATTTACGATCGATCGTCTGTTCCTACTTTCTCCCAGGCAACCCGTGGACTCTGCCCATCATCCAAAGCAAGTGAAGCCCACCTGTGAAAGTGTCTACCCAAGGTACACTTGCCTTGGTAATTATCACCTCACAGTGATCAACGACTCCCACGGATTCCTCTTCTCATAAAAAGTTCAATATCAGAACATCATCTTTTGTTCCAAATCGTTCGATCACGTTGCCGGGAATCTCGGCCAAGGGATTGCCAAACAAGCTCTCCTCCTCGCCTAACATCTCATCGATGCTGGTGCCAGCATCATCAACGTATCTCATGCCAGCATCTTGACACTTGTTATATCTTACGGTGACTTGACTAACCTCAAATTGCGTTCTTCGTTGACTCCTTTGTTCCTCGTCTTCCGCCGACCTCGCTACCTCTAGATATCCTCACAGGCCTGCCCACTTGGCTCCTAAACTCGCTCCCGTCTTGACATCTCACAACTAGTTCTTGTCAAAAATACTACCCCTTTCCGACGTCGACTAGGATCAGCCACTTGAAGTGAAACAAGCAACGCAAGTCAACATGGTGCTCCTCACTCAGCTTCCCTCGGAGATCATCAACAACATCTTTGGCTATGTGGCGCCCGACGATTTACCCAGTATCCGAAGCATCTGCCGACGGTTAACAGAACATGTCAAAGGAAATGCAGTTCTACATCGTGACATCTATTATCGGCACTTGGTGTGTTGCCGACTTCTCCGCTCTCTCCTCAGATATGATGCTGACTGACACTACACAGGACGAACCACCAGAAGATGTGGACTGGGAGCAGAGCCTCAATGATCTGGCCAAGTTGCGCAGACTGTGTGGACGGGAGTATGAGGTAAGCTCTCACAACGACGATACACTCGTGCTGTGAAGGGTTCCATCATCACTTCGTTCCATGATGATTCGCGTTGCCAGCTGGCTAACAGCTCACTCATCCCATCCAGAACTTTGAAGTCTCATGTCCCAACATACACATGCCCAAAATGACCTTTGTCTACCACGCCGTCACCAACCTTCTCAAAGCCATTCCCCCATCTTCTTCCCTGTCAGCAGCCCGCAGCGGCGAGCAGCACAACACCCCCCAACAACCAATCTCCTCCTCCTACTCCCCCTCGCGAAACGCCGCTATCCTCTCCAACCTCTTTTCCAAAGAATCCGTCCGCAACGCTTTCCTCCAGGGCTCCCAGCTCTACGAGCGCGCCCACTGCTTCGACTACCTCCCCATCCCCATGCGCACCATCATCGACCTCGAGCGCTCGCGCTACGTCCGCATCCCCGTCTACATCGAATACCAACAACAATCCGCCAAGATGCACTGCCACTTTGGCGTCGGCGTGCAAGCCCCCGCCACCCTGACGCTGCCCAACAACCCTGCGCTCTCGTCCTCGTTGAACATGAACCCGTACCCTCCTCCTACGCCAGGCACCAACGCGCACGCCACCCCGCCCAGCCCGCCGCTGCCTACCCGCGACGGTCAGCTAAGGTCGGCCTTCTTCGGACGCACCTCGCTTGTGCCTAGACTGTATCCCTACGCCGTTAGCAAGGTGTATGATTTGCGTGAGTACACGACGCGAAGCAAGTGGGGACCGTTCCGCGCGGACGGGAGTGGTAAGGTGGATTGGGAAAAGGTGGAGGCGATTCTGTTGGTGCTGAGGACAAATATCAAGCTGAAGGAGCTGGATAGGATCCCGATGGTGGGGAATGTGTGGAACACGCCGTTTGCGGGATGTTGGGAGGGGAGTCTGTGTAGGTTGCCGAGGGCGGGGGATAACGGGAACAACAGCAGTTCGACGACGACAACAGACGGGGACGGGCAGGGACAGCAGGGACAGGGACAGGGACAGGCTGGTGGTGGTGGTGGTCCGATGGGGGTGGGGAGTGGTTATGCGGGTTGGTTCTTGTGGGGGAATAATACGAATACGCAGCATGAGGATTGGGATTCGGATGTGGCGAATGATGGGGCGGTGGATGATATGGAGGGGGAGGAGGAAGAGGATGGGGATAATAGTGATGGGGATTTTGCAGGAGAGGAGGAGAAGGAGGAGAATAGGGATATGAAGTTGGAGATGGAGGATCCGTATGGGGTTTCGGGAGTTTGGTTGAGGGTGGTTTGTTTTTTGGGTGAGTCTCTCTTGATCGAGAGTATGGGGATGAAACTTGCTAACATATTGTGAAAAAAAAAAGACTACACCGACTTCTTCTCGTTCAACTTCCCCGACGATAATATGCCGTGCCCCGAGAGCGTGCCGAGGCCGCCCCTGGACGTGGGCGAAGCAACCAAGTTGCTCATGATGAAGATCCACGTCAACAGAATCGTCTACCCCGAGCCAGGAACGGAGATCAAGGGGAAGATATGGCCCATTGTACACTGGAGGGGGTACGCTCGGTCATTCGATGGGTCTCCTGGAGAGGCGCGCCTCACGTGGGGGCTGAGAGGTGAGTTCATAACTTTCATAACTAACTAACCCCCCTTCAAACGACCATCCGGATACTTTCTTTTAAAAATGGCATATTGACAAGGGCAAGTCGTAGGAGTCGTGCAAATGACGCCCGAGGGCGAGGTCCGGTGGACGACATCTTCGCTGTATGATGGCGAGGAGAGATGGCGGAGCGAGGGGATCCAGATTGGAGGTGTCAAGTCTGCTCGTGGAGTGGTTGGGAATTGGTTTGACAAGTAGGTTATCATGTCATGTCATGTCATGTCATGTCCCCTCTTCGTCTTTGGATGTTGTTAACCATGTGTTCTTGATTTTTGTAGGGATTATAACCCTCATGGGCCTTGTGGGCCTACGGCGTTTTGGAAGATATCGGATCTGGAGGCTGTGCGGCCGCGGGGCGGTCATGGCGGCGGTCAGTAGGGGCCGTAGCAGTTGTTGTCACTTTGTATGTCTTCTTTGAGTATTGTTTTGAATCGTGGATGGCTAACAAATCGAGGCTTAAACATAGCATGGCACCAAGTAAGCTTTATGGAAACGGGACCATAATAACACACAGATACATACACACATACACACCTTGCCTTGCATTTTTTTTCATATCGTTTGTAACTACCATTATATTTGCCAGCAAATATCTACTTACACCATCTAACACATATCCTTCCTACTCTCTTCCCAGAAGAAAGAATCTCCCCAGTTTCCACCCCCGACACCAAAGCAACGCAAAACAAAATCAAAGCTTACTCCCCCCCTCCGACCCATCCGTATTCACCTTGCCATGCTCACAAGTAGCCACCAGCGCGCCATCCACCGCCCTCCTCATCTTGCCACTAATACTCGCCATCCGTTTACCGAGCGCCACCACCTCGCACTCGATAAACACTTCGGTGCCCACGGGGACAGGTCGCAAGTACGTTGTGTTTAAAGACCGACTGACGCCCAGAGAGTACCAGAACCCGGGGCGGGAGACGAGCGCTAGCGGCATGCTGGTGCAGTAGTCGAAGAGAGTGGCGATGCAGCCGCCGTGGAGGGTGCCGTTGCGGTTGCAGTGGGAGGGTTGGACGGTGTAGCGGAAGTAAGACTTGGGGTGGGGGAGGGAGGAGTCGGCGGAGATGAGTTTTAGGTGGGGGAGGAGGGGGGTTGTGTAGTCCTGGGGGTTGTTAGTTTTATATGGTAAGGAACTATGGAAAGAAAAGGTAGTAAGTGAAGAGTAATGAGTGAAGGACGCACATGATCGCTGATATCACCGCTAGAAGCTTTCTCGTGTTCTCGTCGGTGCAATTCGAGTATTCGTTGCTCGCCCGTGTATGGCAATAGACTTGGGTCGACGGTACTGCTTGGTGGTTGTGCTGGTGCGGGTGCTGGTACTGGTGCGGGTGTTGGTGCTGGTGGTGCTGCACTTCTTGGAGGCTGCTGCTGCTGCTGCTGCGGGTGACGACTTTGTGAATGTTGACTTTGTGGATATGGTGGTAGTAGTGCCGGTTGCTGAAATTGCTGATATTGTTGGTGTAGATGGTGTAGATGATGCAGATGATGATGTTGATGTTGATGTTGACCACCACCACCGCTCTTTGGTGGTGTTGCTGGTGGTGGTGGTGGCGGTGATGCCGACCCCTTTCTTCCTTCTTGACCACCGGTCATAGTATTTTCTTGCTCCTCTTGGGATGCTAGCGAAACAACAACGACTTCAGATGTCTTTACTGGGCGATGATAAGTACGGATGGTCATTTTTTATCTCCGCGACCGAGAGACGATAAGACGGGAAGAGAAGGGAAATAATAAGGCGATGAATGATAAGATTGTGGCTTGCAGGTCCGGTGTTTCACTGTGCCGTCCGTAATGGATGCGCGGCAGGGAAGGGCGGTTGTAGATTTCCGTTAGTAGAGGTAGTCTCGTAGTGTATGTAGGTAGAGGTAGTTGTCTCCTCGGTCGGTGTTAGTAATAAGTAGTACCACACACACACAACCGGCAATAAGTCAAAACAGGGAAGTAGTAGGTAATTTATCAATGTAGTGTTACCGGCGGTACAAGTAGTAGGTATGTGTAAAAGAGCGGGATGGAAACAACACCCGACAACGGATGACAACTCGACGAAATCGAACCAAAGCAAAAGAGGGGGGTATCCATGCCTGCCTGCCGTTGACTACACTACACATCACAGGTACAGGGGGGGATGATTGGGGATGAATGGGCAAATGGGGTAAACTGGCGGGTATCCGTTGCAACCCATTTCTTGGGGTACATGAATGACCTGACAGCCTCGGCTACCTGGCAAGGTCCAAATGGCGGCGGCGGCAAGCAAAAGCAAGCAAGCAAGACAGCGACGGGAGCACCCACAGGCCTCCACTGCGCTGCCCGACTTTCAGCTGTCCACTCACAGTGCTACCAAGTGCCACTTTTGATGCGTCGCGGCATCCACTCCTTGGCCCGGTCTGAGTCCCCCCTTGTTCGAACTTCCAGGAGGTCGAGGTCCAGGTCCATCTCGCCCCGTTTCTTTCAATTCATCCCAATTATATCGTGAACTTCCGTTGACATCAACAAATCCATCGATGGAAACCACGACGGCGATATAATACTAACAAAGCGTTACACCGACTCCGTGTAATTGCGCGCCGCGACACTGGAACATACCGAAAGAGAACCTCGAACTTAATCCACCTCCCTCCCCCCATTCAACCGGCGGGAGCCTATCCCATCCCATCCCATCCCATCCCGCCCCCGATAATAACCAGACCGTAACAATAACCAACCGGGCACCGTCGCAACAACCATGGAATTCGTCACCGCCCTCCGCGGCACCTTCGACGACGGCAAGCCCTCCCTCTTCGAGCTTCTCTCGGAACAACAACTCGCCTCCCTTCTCCCGCCCACCCTCCGCTACCTCCTCACCGTGCTCACCCACCGCTACCCCCGCCACCTGCTCCGCATCCTCAACTCCTTTGACGAGCTGTACGCCCTCGCCGGCCTGCTCGTCGAGCGCCACTACCTCAAAACCCGCGGCGGCAGCTTCACCGAGCACTTTTACGGCCTCAAGCGCGAAAAGGCGCTGGCCGCCGAGATCCCGCGCGCGGCTTCTTCGGCGCCAAACCTCGTCCGCGACGCCCTCAAACTCTCCGATGTCGACATCTGGAAGAACCTGGCCGTCATGGTCGGGATCCCTTACCTGAAACGCAAACTGGACGAGGCCTACGAAATCGATGCGCCGCGCGCCATGTTGGGCGGGCAGTACACGCGGCCGCCGGCAAAGGGGGCGCCGATGAAGGAGCGGTTTTTGTACTACTACCGCTGGTTTCTAAGAAAAGTGTACCCGAGCTTGAACGCGGCGTATTACTTTGCCATATTGGCGTTTAACTTGGGGTATCTGTTTGATAACACAAAGTACCATAACCCGTTTTTGTGGCTGATTGGGACGCGCGTGCGACGGATGAACGGGGCGGATTATCAGGCGATTGAGGCTTTGGAAAAGGCAGCGGGGGCCGCCGCTACCTCTAGATTATCAGGGGGAGGGTCGATGTTCAGTCCGAGGAATATGAGTCGACGGCTGATGGGGGGTCTGTCGCTGGTGCTGCCGACGAGTATTTTTGCGCTCAAGTTCCTTGAGTGGTGGTACGCTTCGGATTTCGCCAAGCAGCTGAGTCGCAAGGCGGCGGAAAGTCTGGATCTGCCGCCGCCGACGGTGACGGGGCTGGTGGAGGCGCAGGCGAGGAATAAGCCTAAACCCAAGATCACGAGGACGTCGGAGGATGGGGTGGAGGAGAAGGCGGATGAGGATGATGAGGCAGAGGAGGAGGCTAGTAGCAAGGAACCAACGCCCGAGACGGCGCCCATAGCGGCTTCGACGCTGTTGCCCATCTTCACGGTGCCACCGCCTAAGAGATCTGATATGTGCCCTATTTGCGAGGACGAGATCCAGACGCCGGCGGCGTGTCAGACGGGTGTGGTCTACTGCTTTTCGTGCATACACAAGTGGATGAGCGGGACCCATGTCAGGCAGGAGAAGTTCATGACCAAGGAGCGCGAGGGCAAGTGGGAGAGCGGAGAGGGGAGATGTGCCGTCACAGGAAGGAAAGTGTTGGGAGGGACCGAGGGGCTGAGGCGGATCATGGTTTAGCCGGAAAGAAGACATTGAGGATAATGGATTGGCATGAGTTGTAAAAGCGAACATTAGACATTTTTAATGGTGGCATATAATCTGGCAAGTTGCATAACCAACATACCATAAACGAGCATGTGAAATTGGACATACTTGCTGGTCAGACATTCAGATTCCTCTGTTATATTATAGCGGATGATGAAACCTCAACCATTATCTTCTCTTTTTGGATTTTCAAAAACGGGCGGGTGGTTCACGTATGAACAACGAGATTTGATGCCAAAAGCAAAAAAAAGAAAGAAAAAAAAAGGTTACATTCATGATGTCAAACTACTACATACAGAATAACTCAATCATCATCCGCAATTTGGTTACGACCTGAAAAAAGTAAAAGAAAA